CATTTGGAGAAAAAGGCAGAATAGTGTTGAAATGTATATGAATGGTTCATTGAAATCAGTGATGACACCAGGTGTTCGCGAAAAGGGTAAGCATGTTCTGCTTTGCCAGTTGACGTTCCTGAGAGTTATTTTAATGGTGGGCGCACCACCGGGGCATCATTGTACAGAGAATATCCAACTCGTTCCCCGACTGCAGGTGGTATTTCTCTCATACTTCAGTGTCGACACGCCCAAGGATCGAAATCTAAAAAATAAATTGAGATGGTCCCTAAGTCCACAAAACTCTTACGTTATTCTCGATTCAGGCCACACGTATCTCGCGTAAATAAAAGCGATAAAACTCTTTCCATAATCAGAAGAAATATCTTTGTACGATTCCGACTATATCATGAGCATGTGTTTATAAATCGCTATCAAACAGTGATACCAGGTGTTCATGAAAGGGTGAGCTTATCCTGCTCCAACAGTGGCACCAGTCACAAACACGCGCAAAGGCAAGTCAAGTGGTCACCTGAACAAACTTGTCAAACAAATAAAAAATACGGAATTGCATCGGACATCACTTTGGTCACCGATAAGACAAATCTGAAATGTCCTCAACACGTTTACCATAAAAACTCTTTATACGTTTCACAAAGGTCTTGACTGTTGTAACCCTGATCAGACAACTTTTGAGCAAGAAAACCTTCGCGGAAGGAATGGGCTCCACTGTACCCCTAAAATGAAATGTAGACCCCAAAGTCTGGAGCTGATGGAAATTGTTCAAAATGAAGGTAAAGCTGACAATTGGAAAGTTGACGTCACCCCATTTGTTATACAATCTTGTGGATATTTTTGGTCCTTCTTTATTCATGGATCTAAATTTGAAACATAGGAGGCGGTTTCACTAGTCTCTGGTTCAGCAAGTCTTTTTATGTAAACATTATCTGTGTCATATTAATCAGTGACTGTGTGTGGTCAAATGATTAAATCGTTCACTCGCCACACCAAAGAGCGTGTTTCGATTCCCCACCTAGGTATACTATTTGAATATACGTTTATTCTTTGTGAACATCCTCTATGTCACGTATATGGACCACACGTAAACAACGGTGCGCTCAGAAAAAGCCTCTTGTTTGTCGTGTGCAGTTGCCATGTGTTAATCACATCAATGCCAGTGAAACATGACGCTAAAAACCTCTTCTGTACACAACCTCTCAACCCCCTCTCAACCACATCTGTCACTTGTAAACCCATCCTTCCCATAAAGTAAACAATGCACATATGCCTACCGGATACAAAAAGAATGTGTTATGGAACCAACGTATATAACATATAAAAACAAAATGGTTTATATCCGCTGTGGGAGGTTACCAAATGTCTGACAGCGTATTTGTGGAAAGGTCGAAACACGGAGAATCAAGATCTGGAAATGTATTTTACGCAATCTTACGTGTTTTTGCAATAAAACACGGTACGCGATTTACTGCGTGTATTCAAGTCCGTAAACACGTTAACAAAACAGCATATCTATTGGTACAAGTAAACACGACACCAGGTGTTTCGCCATTATACACTACTGTTGAAAATAAACCGTCTCTCAGTCACAACTAGAGCGCGAATAGGTCGCGACAGTTAGGCGATTGTACAAGTAAACACGACACCAGGTGTTTCGCCATTATACACTACTGTTGAAAATAAACCGTCTCTCAGTCACAACTAGAGCGCGAATAGGTCGCGACAGTTAGGCGATTGTACAAGTAAACACGACACCAGGTGTTTCGCCATTATACACTACTGTTGAAAATAAACCGTCTCTCAGTCACAACTAGAGCGCGAACAGGTGGCGACAGTTAGGCGATTGTACAAGTAAACACGACACCAGGTGTTTCGCCATTATACACTACTGTTGAAAATAAACCGTCTCTCAGTCACAACTAGAGCGCGAATAGGTCGCGACAGTTAGGCGATTGTACAAGTAAACACGACATCAGGTGTTTCGCCATTATACACTACTGTTGAAAATAAACCGTCTCTCAGTCACAACTAGAGCGCGAATAGGTGGCGACAGTTAGGCGATTGTACAAGTAAACACGACACCAGGTGTTTCGCCATTATACACTACTGTTGAAATTAAACCGTCTCTCAGTCACAACTAGAGCGCGAACAGGTCGCGACAGTTAGGCGATTGTACAAGTAAACACGACACCAGGTGTTTCGCCATTATACACTACTGTTGAAAATAAACCGTCTCTCAGTCACAACTAGAGCGCGAACAGGTGGCGACAGTTAGGCGATTGTACAAGTAAACACGACACCAGGTGTTTCGCCATTATACACTACTGTTGAAAATAAACTGTCTCTCAGTCACAACTAGAGCGCGAACAGGTCGCGACAGTTAGGCGATTGTACAAGTAAACACGACATCAGGTGTTTCGCCATTATACACTACTGTTGAAAATAAACCGTCTCTCAGTCACAACTAGAGCGCGAACAGGTCGCGACAGTTAGGCGATTGTTCAAGTAAACACGACACCAGGTGTTTTGCCATTATACACTACTGTTGAAAATAAACCGTCTCTCAGTCACAACTAGAGCGCGAACAGGTCGCGACAGTTAGGCGATTGTACAAGTAAACACAAAGACCGTGACGCGACAGGTTCGATTCCCCAGACTGTGCACGTTGCGAAGCTCGTTCTTTATGCCGTGATACATCCTGCCTTAAATTGCAATGGTGCGTTAATAATTTGATTTTCAATGACCTTTTCATACATGTTTCATCACATGTTTCGGTAGATATTCGAGACCGATTTTTAACTGGCAATAACGTTTTAAATTTAATCAACAATAGACAATGCGTGATCCCCACGTGTAGCCCACAATAGGAATATGCTATGGTATATATTATTAATGCATCAACTGCGGTAGTTGGAGGGACGAGTCGTGACGGACTATCTTCTCCCATGTGCCGTGCATTGATTTGCTCGCCCCAGTAATCATCTTTTCAGACTAAAAGTATTAATTAATAAACAATTTGCAAATAAATATTTCGCATGAAAACACAAAGAGAATAAGTACATGATATCTGAATTATACATGAATACATTTCGTTCCATGCAAAGAAGCGTGACGGCAGCTTTTCAAACAGTTTGATTGAGTGATTACACTTAAAACCAATATAATCTATTTAATAAATCATTTTGTTTCCCATCCATAACGCGTGGGGAAGGTTTCAGTTGTTAGCAATATTACAACATCAGACACAAGGATGTTCACATGGTGTAATTATATAGGGAATCAAATCCGGGGCTTATGCTGAACCACTGATATCCTTTAACGCTGTGACGTAAAATATGGAGTGAAAAGAGTGGGTATTCCAGTAATATCAAGGCGGGGAACACTAGTCATGGCTTCACACATTGTACCCATTTGGGGAATTTCACTCTTCGTACTACTAATTCACCCACCAGCCTCCCATCAACTCACCCTCACTCACCCACCCGCCACCCTTCCACTCACCCTCAATCACCCACCCGCCACCCTTCTACTCCCCCACCAGCCTCCCATCAACTCACCCTCACTCACCCACCCGCCACCCTTCTACTCACCCTCAATCACCCACCAGCCTCCCATCTGCTCACCCTCACTCACCCACCAGCCACCCTTCCACTCACCCTCAATCACCCACCAGCCTCCCATCTGCTCACCCTCACTCACCCACCAGCCACCCTTCTACTCACCCTCAATCACCCACCAGCCTCCCATCTGCTCACCCTCACTCACCCACCAGCCACCCTTCTACTCACCCTCAATCACCCACCAGCCTCCCATCTGCTCACCCTCACTCACCCACCAGCCACGCTTCCACTCACCCTCAATCACCCACCAGCCTCCCATCTGCTCACCCTCATTCATCCACCAGCCACCCATCCACTCACCCTCATTCACCCACCAGCCTCCCATCTGCTCACCCTCACTCACCCACCAGCCACCCTTCTACTCACCCTCAATCACCCACCAGCCTCCCATCTACTCACCCTCAATCACCCACCAGCCACCCTTCCACTCACCCTCAATCACCCACCCGCCACCCTTCTACTCACCCTCAATCACCCACCAGCCTCCCATCAACTCACCCTCACTCACCCACCCGCCACCCTTCTACTCACCCTCAATCACCCACCAGCCTCCCATCAACTCACCCTCACTCACCCACCCGCCTCCCTTCCACTCACCCTCAATCACCCACCCGCCACCCTTCTACTCCCCCACCAGCCTCCCATCAACTCACCCTCACTCACCCACCCGCCACCCTTCTACTCACCCTCAATCACCCACCAGCCTCCCATCTGCTCACCCTCAATCACCCACCAGCCACCCTTCTACTCACCCTCACTCACCCACCAGCCACCCTTCTACTCACCCAACAGCCTCCCATCAACTCACCCTCACTCACCCACCAGCCATCCTCCTACTCACCCTCACTTACCCAACAGCCACCAATCTAGTCACCCTCAATCACCCACCAGCCACCCATCGACTCACCCTCACTCACCCACCAGCCACCCTTCTACTCACCCTCACTCACCCACCAGCCACCAATCTAGTCACCCCCACTCGCCCATCACCCGTGTCCCGGGGACTGTAGTAGTCAGATCGGTTTGCCTCCCAGAGCGAGTAGAGCGGAGTAATCACAGCGTCCTCCACCCAAGTAACGTTAGACCCCTAAAGAGGCCGTGTGCCTGGCGACTGCATCAACATCGCGTGTTGTAACATTCGATCGAATAATCATTTGAAATTGACAGACAGAACTGATAAATGTTTGAAGACAAATAGAACCAGACGACCGTGGCGTTATTATACTTGCATAGACCGAGTTGTCCCACGAAGAAAAACATGTTTATGTAATTCCCCACGTTCATTTTTAAGTGAACACATGAAAAAGATAAATCTAGAATACAAGATCAATCATGCTGGTCCATATGTTGCACACAAAATTTAAACGAATCCGCGTTGTGATGATGTTTCCACAACAGCCTAAAACAAGTAACACAACCAACATTATCAACATAATCGACACCATCGACGCTATCAACACAATCAAAACAATCAGTACAACCAACACAATCAACACGACCAACACAATGAGTACAACCAACACAATCAGTACAACCGACACAATCAGTACAACCAAAACGACCAACATAATCAGTACAACCAACACGACCAACACAATCAACACGACCAACACAATCAGTACAACCGACACAATCAGTACAACCAACACGACCAACATAATCAGTACAACCAACACGACCAACACAACCAGACAAATAAACAAAACCAGTACAACCAACACAATCAGTACAACTAACACGACCAACACGACCAACACAACCAAACCAATGAGTAAAATCAGTACAACTAACATAATCAACACAATCAGTACAACCAACACAACCAACATAATCAACACAATTAGTACAACTAAAATTACCAACGCGACCAACACAATCAACACAAGCATTACAACCAACACAATCAACACAATCATTACAACCAACACAATCAACACGACCAACACAATCAACATAATCAGTACAACCAACACGACCAACGAGAACAATACAATCAACACAATCAGAACAACCAAAATTACCAACGCGACCAACACAATCAACACAATCAGCACAACCAACACAATCAACACGACCAACGCGATCAATACCATTAAAACAATCAGTACAACCAACACAACCAACATAATCAACACAATTAGTACCACTAAAATTACCAACGCGACCAACACAATCAACACAAGCATTACAACCAACACAACCAACACGACCAACACAATCAACACAATCATTACAACCAACACAATCAACACGACCAACACAATCAACATAATCAGTACAACCAACACGACCAACGAGAACAATACAATCAACACAATCAGAACAACCAAAATTACCAACCCTACCAACACCATCAACACAATCAGTACAACCAACACAATCAACACTACCAACACAATCAACACAATCAGTACAAAATACACGACCAACACAATCAGTTCAACCAACACGACCAAAACAACAAACACACTCAGTACAAAATACACGACCAACATAATCAGTACAACCAACACGACCAACACAATCAGTTCAACCAACACGACCAAAATAACCAACACAATTAACACAACCAACAACCAGCACTACCAGCACAATCAACACGAATAACACAATCGGTACAACCAACACGACAAACACTACAAACACAATCAACACAATCAGTACAACCAACACGACCAACACAATCAGTTTAACCAACACAACAAAACAACTAACACAATTAACACAACCAACAACCAGCACTATCACCACAATCAACACGACCAACACATTCAACACAACCACAACACTTGTGTGTCACTAATGCATTAACACTCTATTGCAGTCTATCGTCACGATATGGCTGAAATACTGCCAATGTGACGTTAAATCTTAACTCACTCACTCACTATTGCAGTCTAATTTAGGTCATGCCCTTTCGCTCAACATAATTTGGGTCGATCTCTCTCCACACGTTGACCGTATGATCCCCCCTGCGAGGGGGAAGTCCGTCAAGTATTGACCATTACGTAACCAAGGACTATTGGTAATTCTGAAGTGAGAAATAGTGAAATAATTCACCCAATCTTTTGATCTAAGGTAGCTGAGTTCGTTATCATTACCAAGTCATGAATGGTTTCCATGTGAGCTTGAAAGGGACATATGTTAGGACATCAAGGTGTAAGGATTATTTGATGACCGTTCAAAGATACCGTATTTCCACTAATATGGTCTCGGTCAGCTTCGGCGAACGATGGTTCCCATTACATTTGAGTGAGTAATTTTGGTTTAATGCCGCCTTGAACAGTTTTGCAATTATGTCACAACCAGTCAGCTTCAGGTTGGAGGAAAGTCGAAGTAATGCACGTCTTAGACGTATCGGGGAGAGCCGGGATCCGAACCCACGGTAACAGGTTTCTGGCACGAAAATTGGGCCACTTGTGCCCATTACAATTGAATTGAATCAAGTTTACTAACTAAAATCCCATCTCCTCACTTCCGGTTTAAGATACAAAAGGAATCAAACTTCCTTTGATAGACGAAATACGGTAGTTCAACGTGTCAGATGGTGAAATAAATCCCCCGCACCTTCCTCTCTGACACCATGCACCGAAAGCCCCCATTACCATCCCATGCGAACGCGCATAACGCTCCTGAAGACCACGATGAAGTAACGTGTTACGTCACTCAAAGGCGTTATAATCAGGTTAATATACGTTCATACTGACAAACAGAAACCGAATCATCATATGAATTCCTCGAGGTTTCCAGCTCTGCTCTAACAACACCTCCACTGGGTATATCGTGCGAGCATTCCAGACCGTCGGGTCGTGGCCTGCTACAGGATATGGCTGGAAGTCTCTGAAGTGTCAAGGTGATAATAACTTGGCATCGGAAAGATCTCCCACACTTTAACCTTTGGTGTAATATCAGACATGTTATCACGAAGAGTCAATAATGAGACTTCCCAAATGTTCCTGTTCAAGATGGTGACTGGTGAAAGGTGAAAACTGCAACGCGGATATGACACGTGATGGTGAGTTCACCGAAGGGCGTTGAAACAGGTTTAAGTCATGTTTTAAATTATTTCCCTGTTAACCGCCCCCGTGGTCTAGTGGTAGAGCGTCCGCCCGGAGAGCGGAAGGTCCGGCCTTCGCTCTCCGGCCGCGTCATACAAAAAGATGTTAAAAGATGGTACTTGTCGTTCCCCTGTCTGGCGCTCGGCATTAAGGGGCTAAAACAAGGACTGGTCGGCTCGGAGTCAGTATACTGTGTCTGAGTGGGGTATTCATGTTAAACTACGGCATGGTATGTCAGTGAGCTAGCACTATAAATCGGCATCAGTCCGGACTAGTACAAGCAGCCACACAAACACACACACGTACATGCACGTCGCTATATAAGTGCAATAATCTTGGACGCGACGTTAAACCCAATTTCTTCTCACCTCCCCTATTTCCCTGTTATGGTGGGGTGAGCAATGTGAGGATGTGGATGCGGTCTCTTGAGGTGTATGTGTGCGCGACCGTATATGCAACATTGTTCCTGATATTCGGAGTCAACATATTCAGTCTTGTTCCTGATATTCGGAGTCAACATATTCAATCTTGTTCCTGATAGTCGGAGTCAATAAATACAACATAGTTCCTGGTATTCGGAGACAATATATTCAAAATAGTTCATGATATTCGGATTCGGACACCATGGATGCATCATTATTCATGATAGTCAAAGTCAATATATGCAACATTTATTGTTCCTGACCGCCTCCGTGGTCTGGTGGTAGAACGTCCGACCAGAGAGCGGAAGGTCGGGGTTCGATCCCCAAAAGACGATAAAAGATGGTACTTGTTGATACCCTGCTTGGCGTGCGACATGAAGGGGCTAAAATAAAGACTGGTCGGCTCGGAGTCAGTTTACTGTGTCTGAGTGGGGTATCCATGTGAAACTACGGCATGGTATCTCAGTGGGCTAGCACGATAAAATCGGCATTAGTCGGGACTAGTACAAGCACACACACACACATGCAACAGTGTTCCTGACATTCAGAGTCAATATACTCAACATTGTTCCTGACATTCAGAGTCAATATACTCAACATTGTTCCTGACATTCAGAGTCAATATACTCAACAGTGTTCCTGACATTCAGAGTCAATATACTCAACATTGTTCCTGACATTCAGAGTCAATATACTCAACAGTGTTCCTGACATTCAGAGTCGATATACTCAACATTGTTCAAAATATGAATCGTCAATATATGCTGAAGTGTCTATGATATTCGAAGTAAATGTATGCAAAAATTCTCATGATATTCAAAGTACTATTTTCTCCACAGCGTTTATCACAATATCAATCATTGGTTTACCTGGTCCAGGCCTAATCCCGATCAACGGGTTGACTTGAAATACTTAATTGTGACACTGACTTCGTCGTACAAACGCCAAACTAAAAGCCGTTAGTTTCCAGTTCGAACAGATCCCCGGCATGTTTTGCTTGTTGTAAGAGGCGACTAACGGGATCGGGTGGTCAGACTCGCTGACTAGGTTGATGCATGTCATCGTATCCCAACTGCGAAGATCAACCATGTTAATCACTGGATTGTCTGCTCCACATTTACAGACCGCCGTCAGATGGCTGGAACATTGCACATTGCGGTGTTAAACAACAACCATGTTCAGGCCTCGTCTCAACTGTCACGATAGTTTGATGTCTGGTAAACATTAATATGGACTAAACTGAATAGATCATATGTACAATATGTATTTCGTCTTCACTTTGATTTTGACCAGTCTGCATGTGTAATACGTACAATTATACATCTTCAGCCAAACATCGACGGATGGCGTGTTGCTGAACGTTTATATATGTAAATCTGATAACAAAGTGTTGTTACAACTTTTAAGGCAATGTCCTCCCAACATTGGTCATAGAATAATGTAATCGTAAAACTAAGGGCTGCGTTGTCAATGTATGTGAATCCACTTCTTTCATCCATTAGCCGTGAATACACACAACCGACAAACCACTGTAAATACGTACAACCGACACACAACCGTGAATACACACAACCGACATACAACCGTGAATACACACAACCGACATACAACCGTGAATACAAACATCCGACATACAACCATGAAAAAACACAACCGACATACAACCTTGAATACATACAACCGTGAATACACACAACCGACATACAACCGTGAAAACACACAACCGACATACAATACGTGAATACACACAACCGACATACAACCGTGAATACAAACATCCGACATACAACCATGAAAAAACACAACCGACATACAACCTTGAATACATACAATCGTGAATACACACAACCGACATACAACCGTGAAAACACACAACCGACACACAACCGTGAATACACAAAAGCGACACACAACCGTGAATACACACAAGCGACATACAACCGACACACAACCGACATACAACCGACACACAACCGTTAATACACACAAGCGACACACAACCGTGAATGTTGCCGTGTAAAATACATGGAAATCAAAGGAACCCAAGGAATGTTGTGCGAACCCTTCTGTTGTCTAACACTGAAGCAATGTGAAGAGCAGATGACGCGGTGGCACATGTTTTACGGGAAATATTGCCGCGTGTGTGATGCAATCCAAGTGCACATTGGTCCAAGCTAACGCAAATTTTCTTCTCGCTGTGACTAAGCCGTGCTTTGATTCGTTGGTTCAAAATAGAGCCTGCACTGCATTTTCTTTTAAAAGCGGCCATGTATATTCACGGGAGGTGGATAAACATAGTGTTTACGAATCCGCGAAGAACTAAAGATGTTAGGGAATGTGACGATACACCATGTCGACGGCTTCAACATGTTTGCCAGGATTAGTGTGTGAATGTTGCTTAACGCCGCAGAAATCAATATTGCAGCAATATCACGGTCGTCTGTACCTAACGAAGTTTGGAACAGGCAAACCAGTAGCTGAGGAACGGCCCACGCCGGTGTGACAGACCCGTCACATTGGATCCACATCTTCGTCAGCTTTTTCGACGAGCCATTTACTGGGGACCTAGTTTGGGTAGCAATCCCCACAAAGTTATACGGCTATATAGGTTGTTTGTTTGTTTGTTGTTTAACGCCGCAATATCCCAGGATTCTCCCGTAGAATACATATTAAATAGAATCTAAGCATCACGACGAAGTTGCTTATGTTGACGGAAGAATGCAAAAAACAAGTCTGGACCAGACAATCCAGTGATAGACATGAGCATCGATCTACACGCAATTGGGATGCGATGACATGCATCAAACCAAGACACCGGGCCCAACCATCCGATCCCGTTACGACAAACATGGGTTGCTGGAGACCAGATCCATTGCGGATCTCCATGAGGGGCGATATATGCGCTGACATTACACGTTGGTTAGATTACACCAGTCTGCGATAAGGTACACGATCTTAAACATGAAGAGATCCAACCCAAATATACTTGTGAGACAAGAGTCCTTTCAACTTACAACCGACCTTTCCTGCATGCCGTCTGAAAAAAGGGTTTCATGTACCTTATTCTCACTTGTCACAAAATAGACATGTATCGATACGTCACGATTTGATACCTGTACCGATATAC